GGCTGGGGACTCCAAAAATGCAGAAATCGAACCTTCATCATTTCCTCATAAAAACGCTCGCAATCACCTTCATCTCCTTCAACTGTTACTGAGCATCTGCCGAAAGTGCTTTGTGACAGCTATAATATTTGTTTGTTTATCTTTTGTATGCACGCGTATGCAAAGATATGCCAAGGGACAACAATAAACGAATCTCCGACGGCAACAGAATAAATATTGATCATACGGGAAGAGCAAAGTGAAAAGGGTAAAAGTGAAGAGGGTGCAAAAAACCTGTCTGGAAATTTTTTGATGATCTGGAACTAGATCGAGCTTGTGAGTCGGATAATTTCACGATCTGTGAGGAAATTATTATTGTTCAGGACTACTTTCTTTTACTTCTTTATTCCCTTCTCTTCTACGGAGAGCTCTTTGTAAGCATTTCTATGAGTCTTGACTTTTGCTGCATAAAAACCTAAATTAATTCAGTATCACGTCCTCTAAAAATCCAAAAATTCCAATTTTCAACAGTTGGAGTGGATTGAGTATTCCTGTAGTGCTACTTAACGGAGCTATAATTTTATTAATTATGTTGCAATTTTTTCTTGCTTCTGGTGGTGATGGTTAACTGCTGTTTTTCGCCGCTGTTCGCCATACGAAAATTATCGCAAGTATGCTAAGCTATGGGCAAAACAATTGCCCCGTGCGGGGCTCGAACCTTTTGCTTATCAGGCAGTTGTGCTACCGATTACGCTATCCCTTCACCCACTACCCACCATTTCGCCCTGACTCACCGATAATGTAATCGGTAACAGCATTGCCAGGTGAGCAAGCCATGCGGGTTCGAGTCCTACTTGGGCAAAGGTTTTGCCCATATTTCAACATCTTTGTGGTAATTATATTTGTGTATTGCTTTCTTTTGATATTACGAATGGAGGAACAATAGAATAGTTCTGAAAACGAACGTGATAAAGTTCTGCGCGTCGATCAGTTCCTTGTTGGGATGCGCTACGCATTCCACATCCCATTTGGGCTGGTGATGGGATTTGAAGTGCGAATCGGTGCAGTAGTGCCGTGTGAACTGCCCTTTAGGCCGATGTCATAGTTTGCGAATCGAGCGATTCGCTAGCGAATCGCTAGATCCGAGCGTTGCGCCAGCGAATCGAACTTTGCGCCAGCGAGTCGAACGATGTACCAGCGAGTCGAACTAGGTACCAGCGACTCAATAGTGGCGGGACCCAACGTTTAAAGGAAGCCCGCCACTTTCAAACAGTGTCCACTGCAAAGTCCCGCCACTTTCAAACAGCGTCCACTGTCACGTGACACTGTTTGAAAGTGGCGGGCTTCCTTTTAAACGTTGGGTCCCGCCACTATTGAGTCGCTGGTACCTAGTTCGACTCGCTGGTACATCGTTCGACTCGCTGGCGCAAAGTTCGATTCGCTGGTGCAACGTTCGATTCGCTGGCGCAACGCTCGGATCAGCGATTCGCTAGCGAATCGCTCGATTCGCAAACTATGACATCGGCCTAAAAACGTTCGCTTCGTAGAACGAGTCCTATACGAATAACCGAACCTCAACTCTAAGAAAGAGGACCTGATGAGAGCTTAAAACAGGATTCAGAGTTGAAAAGAAAAAAAGGGCCTTCCCAAAAATTGCTGAAGCGTGAGGAAACCATTTTCCTCTGCACCACCCCGCTACCCCTCTATTATATTGCGGAAACTAGGAAATATATAGGCACTATTTATTTATTTATTTATTTGTTTATTTATTTATTTATTTATCTATTTACACAATGAGTAACTACAATGGGTCAAATGTTACCACAAATAAACACCATAATTAATTAAAAAGTTGATATAACTAGTTAATAGTGAGTCATTGAAGTTATTAAACTAGCTATTCGCGCGATTCGCAAAGTCTGACATCGGCCTATAGAATTAAATTGAGACTGCTTTTTATTTGTCAAATAATATCATGTGCAATACGAGTATTAAATACAATATACTATATGAAATAATTAAAATATGTTATGAATAAATAGTATTTAAAAAAATCAAAATTTGTTTTGGTACTTTCCGGATTTGTTTGATTTGATTTGACCATTCCAAAATTGATTTTTCATATTTAGAAAGCAAATTCCCATCGAGTCGGGTACATATCTTCTATGATAACGACGGTAATAAGAAGAAAAAGGATGATGATTGGTGAGTTTACATATTCTTCATTATTTTTTCACCTTCCTCGTTAACTACTACCGTATTCCAGTCACTTCTCTACCGTAATCCGCTTCACATCTGCGTCAGAACCGGGTAAAAACGCCACCGTAAGGAAGACGTCGACGACCACGAAAATCATCGATGGTAAAAAGGTGGTCACAAAACGAACAGAGAATGAAGATGAAGAAGTTGTAGAGGTACTGTAGGTTGTACTGCCACTGGTACTGCTCAAAAGTCCTGCACATCCGATTTTGATCTCATTTCAGATCTTGGAAGATGGCGAACTGAAATCGAGGACGGTAAATCCGACTGTGGCCGTGGCGGCTGCCAACTAATATCTCGATCCGCGCGCACTGTACATACACATCACGGGCGATTCGACCTACTACCGTACCTCGTACTGTCCGGACAGGACCTTCACCCTTGGCGCCCTGTCTCACTCACCCGCTACTAATATCACAAACAATATCTGCGCATGCGCATATGTATATGAAACCAGTTGTTTGCACACAGTATAAACACATCTAGGTGTCTAATGATGTAATGATAATCGATGATTAAATGATAATAATGGCTTTGATGAATTTCTGATCATTAATTGCATTCCTACTTGACTGTCCCTGCGTATTGTATTTATATAGGTTATGGCTTTGTTTCTGTCCAGTTTCTGGACAACTCGTCCGATGTCTCGGCCAACTCGTCCGCCGCCGCTGCGGAGGGGGCGTTCCTCCGCACTCCGCCATAGCGCTAGTGCACACATGTCTGTGTGTTTGTGTTGTTCACTGCTGTCGCTACTTTGTTTATCGCTGCCGTAACATTTATATAGCTATAGAGATTTCTAACCAAGTACAGGAAAGCCGAGTTTTCCTAAACCCTACCCACCGTTTTGGTCCTGACCAATGCTGGCCCAGCCCATCCCATTGTCATCGAATGACGATGGACGATACACATCTCGGTACCACTGTTCTTTCATTTTGTCTGCATGTGTGTGTGTGCTGCAACTGGGTATATCATGTGCGTCATCCGAATAAATTCATTCAAAATGATTTTTCGTCTTATTGTGTTGTTTCGTACGTGAACACACCGACGACGTTCCGATTTATATGTGGACAAAAATAGGGAAAACTAGTTACTACCCAACGTCAGTCCAAGCAGCTGATAGGGTGACGTGATGGCGTTGTGCGTGGCAGTGTTGTCCGTCCCGAACAGGAAAGATGAAAGTGTAAAGAAATGGAGTAGAGAGCATTTCTTCATATATTATTTATTTATTATTATTATTTATTTAATTCTATCACGTCCAGTGAGCCTTGAGGAATGCCAGAGCCTCTATTGGAATAAAATAGTATCACTGTGCTAAACCTCAGTTGAGTCACAATAATTGATGGGTCATATATTATTTAATTTAAGCGCCTTAAAATCAAAATTCATTTTGAGCGAAACCAAGATGGATCAACGGCGGTGATAGTAATTTCCTCAACAATAAGAGGAAATATACTGGGTGGAAAGACAGGAAACCCCCTAAGGGTGCGGGACGATGCGGGTTTCGTAGCAAGGGGGATACTCCCAGCGGCGTAGCAGGGTCATACCCGCGCCGCTGCCTCGCCTACCCCTTCGCCTGTCTGACTGTAGCCGATCTAGTGAAGAAAGTGCTAGCTTGATGAGGTCAGCACCGATGAGACATACCTAACGCGCAAACCAGCGGGCAAAAAGAGGTCTATTTCTCGGTTTCTAGGCCTTTTTTCCTGATTTTTCTTCATACCTGTATCACTGACTACCTTTAGCTTGATTTCTAGTAGGCTGTTTTTTTCGTCGTACGTCTGCCTTCAAATGACGATTTGGCTCTTAGAAAGCTGATTCCGCGATGGCGAAAACGCGATAATTGTCGGGTTCAATGAAGTAGTGGCTGCTATTATAATTGTTTTGCCACTGAAGAGAGGGAAGGGAGCCAGCAAAACCGCCCTAAAGATGATCACTTTTGCTGGGTGGAGGGAGAGCCTGAGGGACAACCAGGCTGAGAGCATTGTACGCCGGGGCTAGAGAGTGTAGCGGAGTGAGACACTAGGTACCGCAATGCTGGGCGTGCGTAGTTGCTGGGTTCGTTTGACCATGGGTAACCCTAGAACCTTTACAGCGCGTTTTGAGCGGCAATGGCTTTTTCTAAGCGGTTGTGGGCTCAGCATCTTTATTCACGGGAGGTAGGGACTGCTCCAATGATTTAATCAGGCAAGGTTTAGGAAGGGTGAGTATGCTCAATAAAGGGTGCCTAAGGATATGTGACGCGTTTCGCGGGGAATAGGTGCGCTCGAAGCGATTTAGCAAGAATCCTAGCATTTTCCGCCCTGCCATCGAAGTTGGCTCCTGTCTTGAGGCCATGCGTGGGTCAGGAGATTTGGTTCACAGTGGCGTGCCGAAATGGTGTCAGTTCACTTAGCACTTTTGTCTGATTGTCTCA